GTGAGCGTAGGTTACGTCGAAAAGTGACATGTGAAGGGGTATGTGTTGTGAACCATGTTGAGGTTAAGAGTGAGGAGGAAGTGATCCGAGGTGTGTAGTGGAGTAACCAGTGCATGATCAGTGGAGCAGTGTCGTGTGTAAATAAGGTCCAGTTGGTTGCCTGATTTGTGAGTAGCCGTAAGCCTCATACAGTGTCACTTACAGTGTGTTTGGAAGTCAAAGCCTTCTTAAAATAACTAATAAATAATACATAGCCTACATCTGACGCTCCTGAAATCACAGTACAATTTTTATCAATATTTGTTTAGCGTGAAATAGCAAAATGTGTTTGAAATAGTTTTAGCTAATTTTCACCCTCACATTGGATACTTTATTTTAAATAAATTAGTTTACTTCCATTCATCCATTGACAAATTGCCAGCAAAATATTTACAAAACTATAAAAACCTGTCATCTGCACATAATATGTGATTAAAAGCAAAAACTTTCGTAAATAAGAGCTAAAGTCTATCGTTACCCTACATCTTATAGCTAGCCTAAGCCTAATGGTTGAGATGCTAACGGACTTTTTCCGAAAACACTAAACCATTTCTATAAAGTAAATATTCAACAGAAGTGTGTCAATTGCATGTAAGAAAGTGTCAGGAACAGTTGTATGTATTATTTGTGTAAGTTTAGGGACTAAACTTACAGCAGTGTGACAGACGGAGATTCGCCGCTTGTCAGTTGAGTTGCTGCCCCATTTCCATGGTAACTTCCTACACTCCAGTTTAAATGCGACTTCAATGTTGAACGCGCATGCCCATTAAAAACGCAGCGTTTACATAAATACATACATGTAGAAGTAAAACGTTACATACAGATGGAGTGAATTATCAGAATGACAGACAAAAAATATTGTGAAACTTGATAACGTATAATGTAATATAATATAATATAATAGCTTTAAAATATTTATTTACTTATTTATTTACTACCTAACGAAAATACCAGAAATATGGTAAACAGTGTAGAATAAAAATACGCTATCTATTGCAAAACACATTAAAAAGAAACAGAATGTACAATGGGAGTTTTGACATGGTGGTATTTTGGTACTGTCATGACGTTTTTTAAAAATAAATAAATAAATATTTTTAAACATACACCCATCATTCCTGTTCATGTGTCGATACCCCTCCCCCGCCTTTCATTTGTTTACACCACAGACTGGTTTACACTCTAAGCTGTTAGCTCGTGATGACAATTATCTATGAAACAACAATCGATAAGTGGATTATTAGATTTGAATATATCAATTAAATGATCAGAGACAATTGAAAGTAAGCATTCACATACTTTTAAGTCCTTTTGATATTGCTCATGCTATCTGTTACTCAGTCACTGAATTGCTTTAATGTAAAAATATCACTGTTATTTACTGATATTTTTACACAAACAGAACGTAGGAGTTTTTGCAATGTTATTTATGTACTTTCATGACGTTAAAACGTCTTATTCCAATGTGCAGATTACGTTATTTTAACAACTGAATAAAACGTCTCCCAAAAGTTGCAGTTTGGTCTGGTTTCATTTTCGTAGTAGGCCTAGACAAAGGTGATAATTATGTTTTTTTGACTACTTAAAGAAAACCTACCAGGTTGATATTTTTACAACGTTTCTAAAACGTTTTATTTTGGTTAAATTATTTTGTTTATTTAAAAAAAGAGTTTTTTTTAAACGTTGTACTACAACATTACCTAATTGCAACCAAAATACAAAGTTGTGAAAAGTTGTAAAAATGTTTTGTGTTTGCTGGGTAGATGCTGCCTTATTAGGAAAACAAAGCCTCCCTAATTAATACATTATTATTAAACACTTGTTACGCAATTGATTTCCATTCTTCCGACGTGATACTGTATGTGATGAGAAAAGGAAGAAAAGCGAGTTCGGCTAAAGATGGTTTTGAACCCTAATCGACACGCTATGTCTCTGCGCATTAGGCCCCGATCACACAGAACGCAGTTTTTGCAGTGAGAGGTGCCTTTTTTGAATTGTTTTCGGTTGGCAGTGAGCGTTCTGCGAGCTGTTTATGTATGGAAAGCCATATGGGTCATAATTCGCGTGCTTTTCACCGCCGTATCAATATTAAAACGCCGTTTTCATAACGCCACCAGGCGTTAAATAAGCGCCGTTAGGCGATAAGTTAACGGCAGACGCCACCACGCGTAAAAAATAACGCCACACGCCGACCGACGTTAAGTTAACGCCACACGCCACTTAAGATGCAGATTTATTTGCTCATCTACATGGACACACCTCTCATGGCTACAAGGACTCTACGACAAGTCGGAGCATCCAGTTTGCAAGAGCGCGAAGATGGCAAGTACAGCCCTTACAATTCTAGATGTAGGGGGAAAAATGCCCCTGAATGAGCTTTTGTCTCATAAAGTTATCACACGAGTCATGAATGAGTGCAAATTTGGAAATTATTTTATACAACAGTTAAATAAATAAGAAATTATTATTATTATTATTATTAT